TGTTGTATAAATCAAGTTTGATATTCGTAACGTGTTAATGATTAGTTTAAGTAATCTTCTGAAGATAATTGTTTGGATCTTTATTGGATTTACTTTTATAAGCTAATATAAACACCAGATGGTGATGTCGTTTAAAATCTGTTGGATGCGATTCGCAGTAGTGACGGGACTAGGAAAAGTACTTTATACAGCAGATTCATCAGTATAGTATGAGTTAATTGGTTTTGAATTTCGCACAAAGCTACACGAGGGCTATCTGCGCTAGCCATCTCTAATTTATCAGTGTAAGACTAGAGGGAAGGCAGCTAGTCCTCACTACCCACCGCCAACTCTTGGGCTACTCTTTTTACCAACGAATAGTGGGACTGATCGTCACATTATAGAGTCCCCCACGGCTGAAAGGGCGAGCATGTTTCGTGGGACGGGGATTGGAACCCGCGACCCTCATATTGCGAGTCGAGCGCCCTAATCACCTGGCCATGACGGGCCATGTACGTAAAGAATGAATAGTAAATGACATAAGATAAATTCCTGCGAGGCACACAATGAGACAGTGAAATAATTTGCACTAATTCTAAGAGTCGTGAGTCTCCTTGTGCGAAAAAAAAATGCCATCGACGTTGTAGTAAGGGCGTTAATGTTAGGTTTATGAATTTTGTATCTATGACTGTCGTGTAACACCGAATCAAAATGTGCTTTAAACGTCCAGGAAGCTACTTGTTGTAGCTTAGTTATACTTAAGTCATTTTATAACACAGCCCAGGTGGCCTGTCATACATAACATGATGACCAAGTTGCGAGTTTTTAGTTGAATGCAGCAACTTAATACAACTTCCTTTTTCTAGTAACTTTAATATTAGCTTAAAAGGCTTATGGGACGATAGCTTGAGGGTTCAAAGTGTGGTTTATTTTCTTTTTAATAACTACTAATAAATGAAGCCGCAGCTCGCGCGCCATTTATTCGTTGACTTCAAATGGACGACTGCGCATGCATGATTCGCCATGCACGGGCGATTAGTAAAGGTACCCATGCTACGCGACGCATTGAACGTCACTTTCATTTTTAGAATCAGTTTCACATAGCAGAAATGAAAATGGCTGCCAAATTTGAACCGTTCATCCGATTGCTTATCCATTTAAATTCGACCCTTGGGCTCATTTGAGTTCCTCTATCAAATTTCTTCGAAATTCGTTCAGCAGTTTCTCACTCGAACTTGTGATATCAAGGCATCAGACAGACTAACAATTTTGCTTTACATTTATAGATAATGATCCCATTTTATAAAAGCTGAAGAGATATAACCAGATCAATAGAGAGAGAAGCGAGATGAAGTTAAAGGAGCGAGTTGGCATGTTTTAAGACACTGTTACTGTACCATCGACATTAGAAGTTGAGTAACTTTCCGATTTTAACACTAATGCTACTAATTCACTCATTTATTCTAAAAAATGTGTAAAAAGTAAATAAAAATTAAAACATCTTATTTATTAAGATAATGTATAATACCTGTTTCTGATTTTCTCGTTGAATGTTAAGACGTGATTCAATGCATTGACGAGTCTCCAGAAATGCTTGTCTCTGTGCTGTTTTACTTGGAAAGTGAGAGAAGATGCCGGCTATGTTGATTGCTAGGTAGAGTACAGAACTAGCTAGAAGCTGTAACAAAACCATATAAATATAATATCTAAATTAATTTTGTCCAGCAACATTCGGAGGTAAAAAAAAAAACGATTGTAAGTGATATTTCTAAGCGTTATTCATTATTTGCTCCTCCTCGGTGGCTGAGCAGTAAGCGTCAGGTTTATACCGCTAGAATTTTGTGTTCGATCCCTGTAGCTAGAACAGCGAACATATCACATTGTGTAACTTTGCAATAGATACAAATGAGTTTTCGTTAATTAAATTAAAATTTGTTAAGAGTGGTACCTGAGACCTTTACCGTTATTATAATCATTTTATTCGGCTATAGGTGTTTTTGTTGTTGTTGTTGGTGGTGGTAGTGGTGTTGTATTTTGTCCAAAATTATACAAAGGGCTATCTGCGCCGGCCGTCCATAATTTTGAAGTGATAAACCAGAGAGAAAGCAGCTAGTCAACGTCTTTACTTGCCTCCTCTTGTCAGATCGAATAGTGGGATTTAATCGTCACTCTTATAACGCACCCACAGTGTCAAATTGCCGAGTTTTTTGGGGGGCGCAATGAGGTGAGATCCACGGAATCCCACATCCTTATTCCGACATACTATCCACTTGGTTGCGTTCTGCCTTCGGATACTGGGAAGCATAGATAAACAAAATTGCACTAATAAACATTTAATAGCCCATGTAGAATTCAAAATGTTTAGATATTATAAAATGATCTTATTCAAGAGATATAACTGGTAGCACAATATGATAAAACTGAGATATAATTGGCAATACAATATGATAAAAACTGAGATATAATTGGCGATACAATATGATAAAAACTGAGATATAATTGGCGATACAATATGATAAAAACTGAGATATAATTGGCGATACAATATTGATTGCCAAAAGCACCAGCTGCCAACTCATAGATTACTTTTCTCTGAACGAATAGTGGGATCTGGCCATCACTCTGATGGATCATAAGCCCTCGAATTCACAGTCGAGGGGTTAACCACTAGTGTGAATATTGTTTTAACAGAGAATATGATATGAAACATTGTTGTTGTTAAGCACAAAGCTACACAAAGAGCTATCTGTGCTCTGCCCACTACGGGTATCGAAAATCGGTTTCTAGCAGTATAAAACTGCAGACATATCGCTGTTCCACTGGGGGGAAATATGAATAGATTTATATTATTTTGTGATGACTTCTCAGCTATATTCTATATGATTTGTATAACATATTCCATTTTATAATAACCAATGTTTTTGAACAGTGATATGATTTAACTTTAGCAACAGCTTGCAACATTTCATGTGTTATTTGTTGAAGATCATAAGTTATCAGTTTAGTAATTATTACAGTTCGTATGATTGTGTGTACTTATAACAGAACTAATGTCTGTATATTAATAGTTATATGAAAAAACAATGGATATGAATACATACATAGAAACAATAGCAACTAGTTGAGTAAATATTTTATAGATAGCTTGGTATATATATTTAACATAACGAAAGAGGGTTTAAGAATATCTAACTTTACAGGTTTAACAATCGGATTATATTCAAGTTGAGGTAGTGTAACTGAAAATATATTTAAACAAATATTTTTTTTATTTATTTGGTTGTTTGTTTTAGCACAAAGCTACAAAATGGGCGACCTAGACTCTGTCCACCGCGTGGGATCGAGCCTCGGATTTTAGCTTTGTAAGGCTGTAAACTTACGGCTGAACTACTAGGGACTTCCTTATAGTGAATACCAATTCGCATGATATAATGAACTGAGTACTACAGTTTCAAGCTATATAGACTTTTTTCAGCCTAACTAGATCAATTATAGATGTAATAAAAATAAGCTTCACGTATGTTTAGGTGTTGCAAACAAATTAGTGCATATTTCTTTATACAAGTACCTGTGTACCTTTTCGTAAACGTCCTTATTAAACTTTTACACCATACTTAGTATTTCTTACAATGTAACAAGTTGAAGATTTACAGCATGGTATCTTCCAGAAGGTTCTCATTTCTTCTGTGAACACCAAGTACAAAATATGATATTTTGTTTCAGATATTTATCAAAATGGAGGTGCCTCCCAGTGGCACAGCGGTATGTCTGCGGACTTACAACGCTAGAATCCGGGTTTCGATACCCGTGGTGGGCAGAGCACAGATAGCCTATTATGTAGCTTTGTGCTTAATTACAAACAAACAAAAAGTAAAATGGAGGTAAATTACTTACACGGTACGGTACCGGAGTAAAAAAATAAATCAGACAAGAATTGTCACGGTTAGCAGCCTATGATATCATCTGTGTCTTAATTATTTATTAATTTATTTGAATTTTTATATACTAAGTATTTCATACTATCCTAAGTTTCGGCTGCTAATCTGCTGCCGTCTTCGGATAAATCCTGAGAAGGACTGAATATGGTAGCAGGAGCCACGAGTCGATCCTACGTCTTCTTATTACATAGAAAAGTGTGTTATCCATAGTAATTATCTCATAGTAATTAGGCTTAAATGATAGCATAGGAAATCAACCAGGGCAACAGTTTATATCCGATAGCCAAAACTTTACCATGAATACTTAACATTTACTATATGTATATATACATATATATATATATATACCGATAAATACAGTCTCTATTACTAGCACTATGGTCTATGTCAGAATTATTAAATCACTCAGAACCCTTTACTGACTGGCAGACTTTGAAATAAGCATAACAGGTAATCCTGGCGATAGATAATTTAATTTCTTATTGATAAAATAGTTATTCTATGGTGTTATTCCAGTAAAGGAACGTAACTCTATGATCTGATCCCAGTTCTTGAGATTGGTTTAGACTTTCCTAAAACCCACAATGTTAAAGATAACTGTGAAACTACTAATCATCTAGTACACATTTACTGCTGTTGTAAAAGTAAACAAGCTGAAATAAACAGAATAATGACTGTTAACATATCTGTATCAAAGTGCCTCATTTGTCCACTTCTGTTTGCTTTGTTAAGTTTCATTTTTTGACAAAGTTTTATTGTGGATAACATCAAAGATGGCTTCAATAACATGTACCATGCTAGCAACACATAACCATACATATATACATCGCATATATATATATATACATGTATGTGTTATTTAAAATAGAAAAAAATTTAAATCCTCTTTCACCTTACTGGTAATTAAATATATCCTCTTAACTTTCATTCCATTCACAAATTTACCTTCTTTTTTTTTCGAATGAGAAGAAGGATCATTAATAATTTCAATACAACAAAAATAATAAAAATGAAAAGAATAGCTACGTTCAAGAATGTTAAAAAGATTATTTTAAAGTGGAACACAGTAGTTGTTATTAGTGTTTATATCTAAATCTGATTTTTACCAGTGTATATCAAAATCTGATTTTTGCCAGTTAAACCTAAACCTGATTTTTACCAGTTAAATATTAGTATTTGTAATAATATTTTTTAAATATAAATCACAATACTGAATACAGGAGTAGACATAGAAATACTAACAGAGAACGTGAAATAAAATAAAGTTGGGTAATAAACAATATCTATCATCTTTATGCTCTATAGAAATTCAGAACATTAAAAAAACAAAAAAAACGTCATAGATTTTAAGTACTGAAAAAGAACTAAGCAAAAATAAAGAATTTTCCAACCGCAGAAAGTATGGTGTGAAATATTAACAGCATTAGACTTTAAGTAAAAATAACACAAAAACATTGTTTGGAGTTAAACACAAAGCTACACAATGAGCTATCTTGCTTAACTACAAACAATCAGACTTAAGTCAGACACATAGTTGTCTCGAAAGTGGGTACTTGATGGTTAGAAACCAGATAAAACATAACTTTCAAACTCTAGAATCTTGGGTTTTCAGCTCATACATAACGGGTTTTAACCAAACTGATATTTATAAATGTTTTTGTAGCTCCCAGTGGCACAGCGGGATGTCTGCGGACTTACAACGCTAGAAACAAGGTTTCACAAAGCTACACAATGGGCTATCTGTGCTCTGCCCACCACGGGTATCGAAACCCGGATTCTAGCGTTGTAAGTCCGCAGACATACCGCTGTGCCACTGGGGGCTGACTTAAGTACTCGATAGTTTATTATAAACACCAAGTATGCATTATGTTTCTTCCCATAAACATTCTGTGAATCCGAAGTATCTTACAAATCGAACTTATTATGAAAACAAAGACAAGTTGGAACTGATATTTGATTGTCGGAATACAAAAGTACTTGTTGCACTGCAGGCGAAATCACGTCTACTTTTCAAAAGTTATTTTGATTTATGAATTATTTAAAGTATGTCTTTAAGCGATGAATCTTGTTTTTGTGCCCAACGGATATCAATCCCAAAAAGTATAAACAGCAAGTGATGAATTCCTTTATTAATATTAAATACAAGGCAAAACATTACGAGGATCTTTTCTTGTAACTTATATTTTTCAACTATCCATTATTCAGGAGATAAGAAGAAAGAAGATCGATTCACTGTTCACATCTATCAAAACTGCAGAGATTGTATTTCACCAACTGTTTGTTGTTGTTTTTTTCATCTTTTATTCTCGTTTGGCTTTTTGCAATTCTAGTATTTAATGATAATGTATCTGGTAACCCATGCCTATTATTAATGTGTTTACTAGCAACTACAACAATAAATGTTTGACTTTTAACCGTTATGCAAACCAGAAGCATAAAAAAAAGAATTCAAAATTCAGGTTCTTGACGAGAAGGCATTTTACGTATTCCTGTGTGTCAGCGGATTACAAGATGACATTTGCCACACAATTTGTTTCCAGATAAATTATTTGGATTACGTTATGCTTTTTGCTTCTTTTCTATGAATCAAATACATAACGTAAATATACGTTCACAAACTTCATAAATTTCCGACAGAAAAAAAAGGGGATTCAACATTTTATAGATTGCACAATACGTACTAAGTTAAACCGAAAAGGCACAGATTTTGAGGTGAACGTTATTAAAACTCAAACTTCAT